CTGGCAGACCTTTCCCGCAATGGCGTCGGGAGAAGCGAGCCTTGCTTCGGCAGCTGAATTCCACTATTCGGTCGTATCAGATCACCCGGGGCTCGCCCCAATATTCCCGGCCCAGGATGGGGGGCTCTCGGGGGCAACCGAACGGATATCCCATAGCCGAATCCTGAAGGGACGATCCTAAAGGGCCACCATGGCTTATGCACATACTGCGCGCCACCAGACTGGATGCCCGGGAATCGACAATGTCGAACGGGAGGCAGAACCGTGGCAACACGAGCAGTGCCGGGCGTAGCATTAACTTGGTGTGCCGGTTCCTCGTGGCGTGCAGCACGCTTTGTCCTCTCTTGTTGGATCCCGCGTCTGCCCTCCGGGCTAAGGTCCCTCTTGCCGCGTCTCGGACGAGGCCTGCTGACCAGATCGTCGGGGTTCAGGCGCCCAAACAGGCGGGTCTTGAGCTTCGATGCGTCGATGTGGCCCTTCATGAAATCTGTCAGGTTCGAAGCGCAAACTACAAGGCATGTGCAGATCTTCTGCATCTGCGCCTTCCCTACAGCCCTCGCAAAGTTCTGCGACCGGTCCAAGAAGTCTTCAACCTATATGATGAGAAGGACCAGAGAAATAATAATAATAATGGGCACAATGAGTCTGGCTGGCATTCTGTTACCTATTATTAGTAGTACTAGTCAATGTGCAGAACACCTACACTTAGATTACCAACTCCTTTCTTCCAGGTCTTGGAGATCCACGATGCTTCGAAATTGCTAGCGCAGAGCCCGTGCTCCCATAAACTCTCCACTGATAGTAGCTGCAGGGCACAAGGTCAAGGTCAGCTATTCTTTAAGTATGATGAACATAACTTACACAGCAAAAATGAATAGAATAGAAAATGAACATAAAAATTACTCACCTTACTCATTAGTGTTACAAAAAGTTCAGCTACCGATTCTTTATTTGCGCTCCCAAACCCCTTAAAGAGCGAGATGTTCTTCTCAACACTTGCGAAATCTGAACCATCTGCAAGGGGCCAAAACAAGATAGTTATCTCATCATCCTTTCTGGGTAAAAAAGATACAGCAGCAGAAGAAAAGGTAAGAACACAAACCTTTTAACAAGGCAGAGAACGCGGGCAATATTGGAGGATGGCGGGTCTGCGCTGCCCATTGTAAAAGCAGTAAGAATATTCAACTTCTAATCAGATAAACAAATCAAAGTAGTATTAAATGCCAAGACTGCTGAGCTAAGATGTTAGGTACTCCCTCCGTAAAGAAATATAAGAGCGTTTAGATCACTAAAATAGTGATCTAAACACTCTTATATTTGTTTACAGAGGGAGTACTAGATATGCAGTGACTTGTCACTAGTCACTAGTCAAAACAAACGAGAGACTGGGGGTATAATTACTTGTGATGTAATAATAGAGCCTAAATAAAATGAATACATTCTTGGTACCTGCAGATGGAAAGCAACCAAGGAAATGATTGACATCGAGCTCATTGTCTGCGCTGTCGGGCTATTCACATCATGTATCTTAGCCCAGGTCTTGACCTGCAGCATAAACAGAAAAACCAAGAGTTACTGTTGTCACATAGCTTCAGAATAACCCGCAGCCATTGGTATGTTACGGCTAGGAAAATGATCAAATGAAGATACATTACCAAGTAACTTAGTATCTGAAACCTTTCATCAAGTGAAGAAATCAATTTGACGATCATCGATCTTGTCATGCCATCTTTGTTTTCAACCGTAATATCACACTCGATGCCAGTTCCCCGATCAATAACATTCACAATAGGCACCTTAGCACTTACAACAGGTAAAACCCCACAGTAAATTCCGTCCCCTGAAATTGAGAATATAAGGTTGTTTCCTTCATCTGTACTCGACAAAACTCTGAACAAACTATGGTAACATGGTAGGACCAAAAACAAGCAATGTTGTCAAGCCCCAAACTGTAATTACTGTTGCGATATAAGCGTTCTACAGAGTTTTCAGTATCAAGTTTGTTTCTCAATAAGAGCGGGTGATACTTATGTTGATGAAGATAAAACCACATAAGAATGCAGAGTGAAGAGCTTGAAAGTTTATAACCGATGAATGGACGCACAGGAGACTAATGTGAAAATGTTCAGCTCAAGGAAGTAGTTACTTTGAAGGGAGTATAGAACTTTGGCGAATTTCCTGACAACTTTCATCTTTTTCTTGCGAGGGCACTGATCCTCGATGTCTGCACTGAAGTTGACAGAGAGATCCAGGTCACTTTTAGGAGTAAATAAATCCATTGTGAATGACCCAAATGCTTGCACGACTGGAAACCCGTTGTCGTTACCTGCAACAGTTTGTTAAGAGGGGAGGTCAAATTGAGACAAATGCTCACACAATAATCAGAACATCACTTGTTAAAAAGTATACAGTGAAATATATTCCGCAATATCCGTGTTGGCATGTGATGTTCTCGTCCTAGAATATATAAAATGCAAGCCTGGGACATTGCCTATTGTAGACAGCATCATACAAGCTGTGCTGATACACCTTTCTAACAGTGACTTGGTGATATAGCAATGAGTAAAGAGAGTATTTGAAAAAATCTCGGATCCAAGTTCCTCATGGTATATATTTTCCTTTTTCAGCGAGCCAAGTTCATCATGCTATTCAGTGACTACATTATCAGTAAGAAAGGTAAGCTATATCATCTCTTACCAAAGATTCTGGTTGCCATCTTGTTGAAGACATCAACCAAGGCGTTCCGCTGCTGGTAGTCAGCGGGCTTGGGGCGCAGCACGGCATACACCTCGAGGAGCAGATCGTTGAGAGCTGGAAGACGGCCAGGATCGACCGACATCGCGGCCAGCAGCTGCTCCTCGTTACGCTCCGCCTGGGCGCGTAAATCTGCGCAGGGACAGACAGAAACGTTGGCAACGACGACGACGCGGGAGCAAAACCACGACGCG